GACAGGATCTTAATAAGTTGCCCAGGCAGACCACCTCACACTAGCAATTCTCCTACCTCAGCTTCCCAAATGGCTGGAATACACACCTTACAGCCACAGTCCCTGGCTATAAGGTGTGTATTTTCAGGAATTTGTCCATTTCATCTAAATTCTTTAATTTATGGGCTTAACATTGTGTCTATTTCTTCTTCTTAGCATCTGTGGACACTGTATTTATGATTCCTTTTCATCTCTTTGTATCCCCTTTTTTCCTTCAATGGCTTTCTTAACAATTTAATTGGTCTTTTATAAGATTTAACTTTGATTTTGTTAACTTTTTCTATTGTGTGTATATATATACACACAATATATATTTTCCTTCTATTTTTGAAATTTTTACTCTTATTACTTCTTGCTTTCTATAGTCTATGGGTTCAATTGGCTATTTTTTATCCTCTTAAATGAATATTAAATAACTACTTTTACTTAGATCATCAATATTCAACTTTCTTTTTTTAGAGAGAGAGAGAGAGCGAAGGGAGAGAGAGAGAGAGAGATTTTTTTAATATTTGTTTTTCAGTTTTCGGTGGACACAACATCTTTATTTTATTTTTATGTGGTGCTGAGGATCGACCCCAGTGCCCCGAGCATGCCAGGTGAGTACGTTACCGCTTGAGCCACATCCTCAGCCCAACCTTCTTTTTTTTTTGACATTTGTAGATGTGGCCACAAATTTCTAAGTATGGCTTTTGTTGCATTCTATAAATTTTCATATATTGTATATTTATTACAGTTTGTTTCAAAATATCTTCTTCTTTCCATCACAATATCTTCTTCGACCTATGGTTTATTGAAATGTGTTCTGCTTAACTTCCAAACCTTGGATATTTTCTAATGTTTTGAAACCAAATTTTACCTTTATTCCCCTGTAGCCAGAGAACATGCTCTGTTTGATTCAGTCCTTAGAATTTTTCAAGACTTGTTTAATAGATGAGCATATGGTCCATTTTGACCCATGTTTCACATACATTTCAAAAGAATGTGTATCTGTATGAACCAGGAAGCAGGACACACACTGAGGAAGTCTTTCTAGAATTCTAATGGTGAATGGGGGTTTTGTGGAGGGTAGCCTAGGATCAAGGATAAAGACAGCCAGTATGTCCCAGCGCACGCCTGCATGCTGAGGGGAAGGGCCCAGGGACAGGGAGAAGGCGGTGCTGTGGGTGAGAGCCGGAGAGGCCGGACACTCCAAGTCCCAGGTAGAACAGGGAGAATCCAGAGGAAGGACTGGTGCCTCAGACAGTGTGTGTGTTTTTTTTTTTGGGGGGGTCCTCCTGTTCCATAACAGGTTGAAGGAGAAGGAGGTGAAGAAACAGGTAGACTGGCAGGATAAGCCACAGGGGGATGAGGGGCTCCATCTACACTGAGACCTTACCTTCTGACCCAGAAATTCTTAGGAATTACCCCAAGGAAACAGTCCTGTAGTTACACTAAATGTTGCTCAAGATTCCCCATACAGGGCTGGGGTTGTGGCTCAGTGGTAGAGCATGTGCCTAGCACGTATGAGGCATTGGGTTTGATTCTCAGCACTATATATAAATAAATGAATAAAATAAATGTCCATAAACATCTAAAAAAAATTCATAGAAAAAGATTCCTCATACAATATCATTTATAGTAACTATAAAATACAATAAATTAAACACTTACAGTAGGATATAAGAATTATGATAAAGCCATACATGAGTTTCAGTCAATTCAAAATAATGTGGATATTTTATTTCTAGGCATAGAAAATAACTACTACATATTGTTAAGTGGGGGGAGTAGAAGATAGAAATGTAAATGTGGATAAAGATGTGGATATGGATAGAAACAGATAAAGATTAAAAGATGTTAAAGTATTAATAATGATGGTTGATCCGGTTACCTAAGTCACAAACTAATATATCCTGTTGAACCGAATATATACTGGTTAAAACAACATTTATTCTGCTCAGGAACTATAGCATGAGCAGGGCTCAGCAAGGCCTGCAGTCCCTGGTGACTTGGGAACATCCTGATAGCTCAGAGGTGGGGTCTATAGTTACTGGAAGGTGCTCATTCACAAGTCTGGCTCCTAGGCTAGAAAGGACCCTGGAAGAGCTGGGCCTCCAGGATGCCCCTCTCTGTCTCTCTGGAGTCTTGCCATGTCGTCTCTCCAGCATGGCAGCGGAAGTGTGGCTGGACTTCTCACACATAGGCTCAGGCCTCACAAGCCTGTGTCTGAGAGAGGGCAAGTCAGGCCCAAGCTGTGTTGCCCTTTATGACAGCCTTGGAAGTCCCAGAGCAGCATCTCTGCCACGTTGGTTGAGGCAGTTCCAAAGTTCCACTCGGGTTCAAGGGAGAGGGATATAGATCCCCATGGCATTGTAAAAAGAGCATGTGGGTCGGGGTAGAGCTGAAGCCCAGCCTGTGGCCACAACCGTTCAAATCCCTTCTCAATGCAAAATAACCAACTCTCAGCACATTGTGACATCAGCTTGAAATCCCTTAGCTCCTCATCTAAAGATTGCAGATGTGCATTGAGAAAACTTCTTCTGAATTTAAAGACCCATAACGTGAAGAGGCAGGTTTCACCCACACCCCACACACAATGGTGGCACAGGCGGTAGGGTAGTATTTCAGGGGATCAAAGGTCAACCACTGCCTGTCACGTGGGTTTAATGAGATACTGCATATCAGGCTCTCAGAGCAAGTCGGGCCCCTGGTTAGCCAGAGACAAGTGCCAGCCCTTATCCTTGATGTCACGGGCATTCTGGTGGAGGAAGGAAGGAAGGAAGGAAGGAAGGAAGGAAGGAAGGAAGGAAGG